AAACCTCCAAAACCCTTCGAAATCCCTTACATTAAACACTATGAATTTTGTAAAGCAGGAGCTGCTGGGGTTGCCATGGTTTCCCTTGCCTGGAGGAGCAGCTCTGGAGCTGGATTCGGGAAAGGGGGGGATTAAAATGGAGGACAGAGATTTTCTCTGCTGCCGTGGAGGAAAAGCATAAGGGAATGGCATCCTCCTGCTTGCTTTCTTCTCCTTCTCCCCTTCCCATCCTAATTTTACCTGTGCTTCCTCTGCAAATTCCTAAAGTTTCCCAGATGCTGGGCCAGGCTGGGGATGCTGCTTTTCCTGGCAGGAGGATTTCAGGGGGATAGGGATGGGCAATGGGCATCACAGAGGCTGTGGATTCCCCAGGCAGGCAGATTAAGTCAGGGCATCTCCTGGGGAGCCCGGTGCAGAGAGGAAGGGTGGGGTAAAGCCTTGGGGGAGGACAGAGGAAAGGAGCAGAGGAAGAGGAAGGTTGGGAGGAAGGATGGAGGGGCTCTGCCCTCCACACAACCATGGAAGTTGTTGTGAGACCCATGAGCTGAAAATCAGGGCAGAGCCCCTCGGAACATCACTCCCATGGCCTCAGCCAGCTCCTTCCCCAGCTCCAGCTCTGTCCCAGTTGCTGGAAGTGGGACAAGATGTGATCCTCTCCCTGCTGGGGCCCCGTGTCTATTAGCCCAGAGCTAATAAAATGAATCACTGGTGCTTAATGAAGAAGCACCTGCTTAATTGAACACAGCAGGATGGTGCTCAGTGTGGCTGGGCAACAGGACGGGATCAGCAGTGTTTCCCCCCAGGCTCCCCAAAGGTCCCAGTGGAGGGGATGGTTCTGCAGTGGGGCTGGATTTCATCTTTGTTTTTTTTTTTATTTCAGGGAAAACCAGCCTTTTTCCCTCTTCGAGCAAGCATTAGGCTGCCCTGACCCTCCACCACCTCGTTCCTGCATGGTGGCTTGGGGCAAGGGATGGGGCTGAAGTGGTTAAAGGGGTAAGTGGGCGGGATGGGAGCTCCGACAGCTCCCTGAAATGATGATGTTTAGATTAGCTGGTTTCCAGGCATCAAGCTGTCAAAGCAAGAGTGCTGGGAGGGACGTCAGGGCTTGCCCTTAATTGGAGATGTGGCTCTAAAGCCACCCCATCTCTCTGACGTTCCCTGTGCTTGGGCACGCTGCCCCACAGCAGCTCCCTGCCCCTGTATAATCCCTGTTCCACTTGTTCCCATACCCCATCCCACCCCAACAATCATTAGCATGAAGAGAATTCATTGCGATTGGCATTGCTGTGCTGGCAGCTCGGTGGCTGCTGATGAGAGACAGAGGGGAACCCCAGGGTGACATGGCTGTGCAAAGCTTGTGGTGACCTCTGTGGCTCTTCCCTTGGCCAACATTGTCTTGTTGCAGAGTCCTTTAGGCAAGGGGGAGGGCAGGGTCCTGTGACTGCAGCAAGGGCTGGAGGTGACCTGCTGGGTCCCTTGGGAGCTCCATTGTGGCTCAAGGTGTCCTCCATCACCGTGCTGCAGGCAGGCGCTGCCTCCCATCTGCCTGCAGCCACATTCCTTGGCTCCCTCAGAAAGGCTTGAATAACCCTTTTAATTTAAGGAGTTAAATTTTAATGGCCTAAATACCACACTTCATTATCACCGCCATGTGCCTGCGCCGCCGGCTGCCTAACGTCTCCAGTGTGGTGTGGTGATGCTCTGTAGCTCCTGCCTCCCTGGGGACACTTCTTCCCCTCTTCTTCCACACCAGGAGGTCTTTGGGGAGTCTCTGGGTCCCCATGGACAAGGGGATGGGCAAGAGGATGCACATGTCATCCACAGGGATGCAGAGAGAGCTCTGGGGAGTGGCATAGTGCTGGAATGATGCTTCGGGGGGGGATTTGCCAGCTCCTTGCATTGTCACATCATAAATACTTGGGGGGATATGTGTGTATATATATGTCTGTGTATATATATATGTATTTACAGGATGTACATATCTGGGATGTATTTATGGGGTGTACATATAAGGGATATGTCTCCCACTCGCTGTCCCCTCTGCTCTATCCCTTTCCACATCCATCCCATCAGCATCTCGGTTAGCTTGAAGCCACCTGTCCCCTGCTCAGCCCCATCCCATGCCTCCTCCCAGCCAGCCTGGCGTTCCCCTCATGCCATTGAAGCCTCCCAGGGGATGGGTTCTGGGGGACCTTCCTGTCCCACCAGCAGCCGCATGGTGCTGGCAGTTGCACTCAGCTGCTGGCTGCTGTCACAGAGCCTGGCAGCTGCAGGACTGGCCAGTTGTCCCCTCTGGGGACCACTTTTGGGATGTGCTGACCAAGGGGCTTCATTGAGGTGGAGTTTGGGGTCTCTGCCTATGCCACAGGAGGATGCTGTGCACTGGCAAACTCATTCTGCTGGTGGTTCCCAGAGAACCTGGGGGCAGCTGGAGGGCCTGGTGCCCAGGCAGGATGGCATCCCCGTGGGGTGACATGGCTTCGAAGCAGAGGGACAGTGTCCACACAGCTGCTCCTTTAACACCCAGACAGTTTCCAGTTCTCCAGAGCCACCAAAAGGAGGGGGGACAAGCCCAACCCTTCCCTACTAATCAAAACCAGGCCTGAAATTAGAAAGCGGCTCGTGTTCAGCCCCTGCTCGCTGCGAGTGTGGCGTTCGCCAGCCAAATGGCAGAGCTCCTATTTGTGGAAAGCGAGAGCCCTCCTTTTCCATGGAGGAGCAGCAGAGGGGCGACCCAGTAAGGGGAGCTTCAGAGGTCACTGGGTTGCCCTCGATGCTCCCCAGCACTGTTTTTGTTTGTTTGAGCTCTTTCTGTAGCCTTTCTACCTGGAAGGTGTAAAACACTGGCTCCCTGCCAGCCACAAGCAGTGCAGCCAGTCCCTAGCTATACCAGCACACCAAGCACTTTGCAGTTGAGGCTAAAACTATCCTGGTGTTTGTCCCTGGAGAACCCATCCCCTCTTTGGGCACAGTAAATCATCCCACTTCATAGTCCAAGTGCCCAGCACAGCTGCTGGAGGAAGCTCAGCAAGGATAGGGCATCCAGTGATCCCCTCTTCCAGGAGAAGGGTAGATGGAGCCAGCTTACTCCTGGGCTGGGCTTGGTCCTGCCCAGGCTGGGCTTGCTCTGCCACAGCTGGCAATGACCGGATCCTGCCTGCAACGCTGAGTTATTGATTTGCTTTTGGCTCCATCAGGCTGGACTAAAAGCCTCTGCCTTCCCCTTCCCTCCCTCCATGCCTCACTTTCCCACCACTCTCCCTCCTCCAGCCAGCCCGCGTCCAAGCGGCGAGAAATCGGGGAAGCGTTTTCATCCCCATGAATACAGCCGGTTATGTAAGAATAATTGGGATAAATGAGCTTATTTATCACAGCCCGTTCCATTTTAGCAGGGTCCAGGGCGATCGCCGGGTTGGGTTACGTAAAAGCCCACACAGAGCATCTCATTGTCTGGTGGCAGCCACGCGGGATGCGGGAGCTGCCGATGGGCAGGCAGCCGGGGCTGGGTGAGGAGGGGACGGATTATTTGGCAGGACGAGGAGATGGGAGGAAGATGGGGGGGTTCTTCTTCCATATGTTGAGGAGGGAAAATCCATTTCTTCGTTCTCCTGCTGCATCCTTACACTCCCAGTCTTTGGTGTCTAACTATAGCCATATTGTCTTCCACTGGTCCTTCCTGACAGGGACAGGGGCTGGAAACTCACATCCTTCCTCCTCCTTACCCCAGGAGGTGAAAACATGACCTTGGTGAGGGGAGTTCAGTTCTGCCTCCCACTTTCTGGCCAAACCAAGCAGCTAGTGAACACCTCCCACTCAGCCACCCAAGTGGGTGCTCGTTGTTTTGCCTCCTGAACCCTTCAAAGATGCCTCCAGGGGGAAATTGGAGTCCAGCTAAGATTATCTGGTAGGGAACAGTGCTTGGTAGGAACTAGGAAAAAGCAGAGTTGCTCTGGGGGATGCCTTGGTGCCAAGGTTCCCTACGTGGGGACCTGGAGAACATCCCAGTTTCAAGAGAAGCTGAGGATGCTGAGGAGCTAGGTGGGCTTCCCCACATCTTCATGATGCCCACACTGGGGAACTCAGCCGGTGCTGAGCAGTGCTTTAGGTGTCCTCAGACAAACTGCCCAAGAAGGCAGGAGCCTGGAGAAAAACAGGAAATCCCCAAATCCAAATAAACATGGAGAAAAAAAAAGAAAAAAGGTCTGGTTTTTGGTTTCTAGTCTAAAAAATGCTGAAAATCTTGGGAATGCCTCAAGGTTTGTTAAGCAGGACATTCCTG